ACGACTCTGTGGACTTAAATTCTAAGGAATAAATGTGTAAAAAGTTCTGGTAGCTCATTGCCCAGACTGTCCAGTTTTTAGTTTTTTCTTTCATCCATAATGGTAAAAATCCCCAGAAATTTCTATAGTGATCAAGTTTGAAACCTTTTGTCATCCACAACGGAAAATGGTTGGGAATAAAAACTTGTATTACCTAATCCCACTGCCAATTCGATCAATTCTCCACTCTGCTTTCAGTCTCCAATATCATTGAAATGCAGCCACATGCCGCTCATTTTACATTTTCACTCCTCTCTTTACTTTTCCTGACAAGCTTGCATTTAAATCTGACTCGCCCATCTCTCCGTCTACTGGGCTGTTTTCGGGACGTCTGCCTTTACATGTGAGATAAAGCCCCACCCCCGTCTGCACATCCACATCCTGACGGGCCATTAATACCATTAATGGGCATTGGAAATGATCTCAGCCTGCGGGCTGTACATTTGACAACCTCGAACTAGACGCTGCTTACCATGTATCAAAGTTGTTCGAGTCAATTAATTGCAATATATTGTTAATTATTATTTTATGATCCTAATTTTGTTAAATAATATACAGTCATAGTGTTAAGTCTTAATATAAAATTAAATAATTGCTAAAAACATAAAGTAAAGTGATGTTGTAAATTGGTGATCTCCTTTCCAGGCAGGTGAGGCAGTCCTGAGTGCTCTCAGTGGCTGTAATATACTCAGAGACTTGTCCAAACTGGAGGAGGAGACTGAAACCAAACTCTCCATGAAAGAACTGGCCCAGAAGTTTGAGAACCTGGCTCATGGTGAGACAGTAACTGCAGTTTTGCACTACACTGTTAGGATGGTTTGATATCTAGTTTTGCAATCATTTTATTTAATTTCCTTAGAATTTTCCTTTCAACAGCTGATGTAACACAATAGTAACAAATCTCATCGAACTCTCCATCATGTGTCTTGTCCACTTTATTTCAGATATTTTTAGCTCTTGTTATCGGAGTGATGAAAACCGTTCCTTCACCCTGCTAATTAGGAAGTCTCCAATCTGGGGTGACACCACCTGCCTTCAGATGGGCGTGAGTGCCGATGCCCGGCTTTTCTTCAGTAATGATGGCGTACAGGTGTGTCATATTTGTCATTCATGTGAATGGCATTCCTTTCATCTAGCACATGGGCAATGAATCTGAATAACATCGTCATTTTCCAAAATATAGGTAACAAATGCAAAGAATGGAATGATATTTTGTAATGATTGTGAATGTAAATGTTTGAAACAAAATGAACTGAATGCTATTAAACAAATGAACATGAAATCAAAGGAAGCCATCATATTTATATAGAGAAAATATTGATCAGTTGAGGGAATAAAGTGGGTCATTCCATCCCAAATAAGCCAGCTTTTGTAACATTTCTTGCTCGAAAATCTGCAATTTGCGTAATAATTTTGTGGTCCAATAGTTTGAACAAATCTAATCTTTGAAATTCTACCTTAATGTAACAAATAATTTTTAAAGATATAATTAAAAAAACAAAAACAAAAGAAACCCCATTGTCCTTCGACCCACTTTCAAATGATGTGTTTTGTACATTGAAATCTGCAACAATGTTTTAAGATTGATATCTCAAAGACTTTCACTGGGCCGATTAAAATGAATCAGTGTTTTTAATTTGCAT